ATCAGCTGAACTAGTGAGAGGAGAGCTAGGTTGGACTGTTGAAGAATTAAAACAACTTATAGGAGAAGTAAGAGGAAGAATATATATACTGTCATCTCCTTCCATTGATCTGGTCCATTTCTTTAATTAGTTATTTAATATCAAATCATCATGTATGAGAATAGTAGTGGAGAAGAAGGGTTACTGGTATGATGACTCTTCAGTCCATGATATTAGTGATGTAGGAAGCACTCTAAAAGAGATACTCATCATTATTCCATGCAAACAAGTAATGAAATTGTTGGTGTGGTCAGACATATTGCATCATGTATCCACCTTTCATCTACCATGTATCTACTTGTATTTAATTTTTTAAATAATGTATGCACTTTTACTAACACCATTTACTTTCATGTATTTACTTGTATTTTGCTATGAGCTTATCACAACATAAACTGATAAATAACTGTACTAAACTTTTATTTTAAAAAAGATTAAGTGCTCAATAAGGTAAGCAGAAAAAGGGGGAATAGTCAACAGTGACTGAAGCGTAGTTAGTAGCAAATTTAATACTAGTTATTAAGGTTAATTGAGTAATTAAATTACTCAATAACATTGATAACTATTAATAACAGATACAAGATCAATATTTCATGTACTGCTATGCCTATAATCATGTATCTATATTTATCTACTTTTTCAGCACTTTCTCATGTATATACATGAGTATCATGTATACATGTGCAATGTCTGGGTGTGGTTTTACTTTTGTGACTAATCTGCCTTTATTAATTCCTGCAAGCTTATGCAGTAGTTAACTATTTAATTATATTTATACTATCTATTTTATTCTTCTCCAAACACATACACACAAAGACGCAGTTGTATGTGTCATCAGATCCTAAAGATTATCAAAAAGAATTCAAAAATTGTCTGATGTACAGATATGTTGATTTTCACGTCAACTCAATATTACTGAACATTACTCTACCTCCGGCTCCTGGACCTGAAGCCACACCCACTGCAACTAACATTACTAAAAGAGGAATAATAATGAAAATTATATCAATGAATGAAGAAAGTAAAGAAAAAGAAAGAAGTAAGTATTAACTTGTATTACATGTATAATAACAAGCGTAACAGTGTAAAAATATTCCTATAATTGATTTCACCACCTTGCATGCATAGCTGGGCACTTATCAAGACTTATAGAGGTTTTTTCTACCTTCAAATGCTTCTAGAGAAGGTTTTAGACAGTATCTTTATGTTCTCTTGCTGTTAGAAAGCCGTGGCCACACCCACTTATGTAAAGGAGCATGGTCAGCTGGTTGCTAAGGCTTGTTATTTTTCCAATACAACATGTATAGAAGAAATGTAAGTGTGGACATACAAATAAATAAATAAATATATGTAGCGGATGATGAAATCAATTATAGGAACGACCTGGGGGCTTTGCCCCCAGGTCGTAAAAATATCACTATTAACATTATTTTTACTCAATACAGAGATACAGTTACAAGTTGATAGGAGAATAACATTAGCTCAATTGAAGGAGGAGCTAGTTCCACTGATTGGTGTACCACCTACTGGTTTTATAGTGTATAAAATCAGTGGTAATGAAGAATATGAAATGGAGGGACTATATGATACATTAATGGCTATTTACTCTGGATCAGAGGTATAGTTTCTTGTGTTATTTGATTCACTTCTCCTTTCCATTATATACTATTATAAGTACTAATAACACACACACACACTCATCTCTTTATTACTTTGTGTATCTACTAGTTGATAGTAAGACTGGGTAGAGGATTAGGAAGAGGAGAGAAAAGAATTAAATTATATTTATTACAAGTTAATAATAAAGAGGTATAGAATATTAATATTATGATTAATTTATATTTTATTTTATTTTTTAGTTTTGTAATTTTATGATGAAGTCTATTTTTACTAAGGATACACCAGTGAGAGAATTTAAGAAACAAATTATTGAAGAAGCAAAAGTACAAGGAATTGACTGTGTCCTTGAATTAGACAAGTAAGTACATCATGTGACTATCATGTGACTCATTGTGTAGAATGAGATTACGTAATAAGAATGGAGCGTCCCCTGGTGGAGTTTATCCTGATGATCTGCGGATTATTGTTGGTAGGGTAATGTATGTGGAACCATTAAAAGGTCAGTATTATTGTGCTGTTCTTTTTATGATGCAAGTTTAATGTTAGTACATGTGTATATTAATTATATTGTATCAGGACCAGAGAAG